GGTCATTGGGGTCATTTGGGTCATTGGGGTCATTTGGTTCATTTGAGTCAATTGGGTCATTATGGTCATTGGGGTCATTAGAGTCATTGGGGTCAATGGGGTCATTTGGGTCGTTTGTGTCATTGGCCGCACCTAGAATATGGCCTCAGAATTCTAAAATTTAATACCGTTTGGCCGTGAAAGACAAAAAACCGCCAAGAAATGATCAAATTTTTCCAACATCACCAAAAGTTTAAAAGCAAAGCAAATAACAAGCAAGATCACCATGTCTTCAATGAAAATGTGGCCAATTTGCTCGGCGTTTTCTTTGCTTTTCAATTCTTGAACATGCGATTTGAGCGAAGTAGAAATCTAACAACAATATATATTTATATATATAAATAATATAAACACCTACTGGTTCTATGGCAGGTACGAGCAAACCAGGGCACCACTGGTAGAGTCCCACAGGTGTACAAGAAGGCCTCAACAGCAGGACACAAAACTGCACAAATCACATCATCAATTTTTAACAGTTTTGGGGATTAAAATTTCTGTCAATATTAATTTTGTTATGGAAAAGCTAGCAAATTTTTCAGTTGTAGCAGGGGAAAAACACAAATGGTGCAAGCAATTATTATTCATCATACAAACAAAATGACAACTGCTATCAATATAATTTCAAGTAGAACTTAAAGTCTCTACAATGTAAGTCTCAGTAACTAAAAAGTGAATCATCATGCAATTACCTAATACCTAAGTCCTATTCACATCAAGTCCTATGTAGGAAATATTAAAATCAAATTTTACGTGGCATAGAAGTAAATAAAATATTTTATAATCATTGAGAACATTAATTTTCCTTATCGGTAGAATGGAGGTAATGCTATTTCAATCCCACCTGTGGGTAGAGGGTTGAGCATGTGTGAAAGAGTACCACTCATAGTCACACACCAGCTCTCCTTCCATCACATTAACTGTAGGTTCAGCTGATCCTTCATGCTCTGCAAACAACATATCATTACTTTATATTTACTTTATTTTTCTTCAATTAGCATTATATCACGGCAAAATATGATACAAATCATGTTAAAAAAGATGAGAAATGGCTTAGTTTTCACAAACATTAACTTGAACCAGCACTATACTAATACTTCTCTAATTTAAATTTAACAATGCAATTAACATTGTACTTTCAAATTGATGATTCTGAGGAGCAGCTTAGGGATATTCAAGCATTTTATAGTGTGATTTGCGCAAGCAGCACCTTTAGAGACAAATAAATGTCTTACCTATAAATCAAATTGATTATATCGAATACAAACAAGGAATGGGTTTAGTAACATTGGATGGCATGAAATGGCACAAACTAATGGCATGAATCACAAAAAAAATGATAAAATTTATCACATAGGTGATTTTCTCTAAATGCCACATTTTTTTCACAACATTTTAACAAAACATTATTGATGATTTAACAAATTTAAGGAAATGAAACATTCAACCTTGGATGGATAAGGGTAAACCTCTGAACTGAGCTCAGCAGTAGCAGCTGTGTGCCCTCTGGTGACCTTCAACAATCCAGAACGTCATAATTAAGAAACAACATTTTATTTTAAGTACAACTGTGATAAAGTAATGCAAATTGTGCAAGCCAGCAATTAAAATGGGTAAAAGATACAAATCATACCATTCACATTATGTACAACACTGGAAACTTAATACAGCAATAAAAATAATACTTGTTATAATTTCTCCAAGAAGAACAAAACAATATAAAAAAATAAGTATTTCACTGACCATTTGCAGCCTTTGGTTTACTTCTCTTCATGAGAGAAGAGATGTGAATAATCTTGCAGAAACACTGGGTTCTTAAAGTTGAACTTATAATTCATATTGGCTATTGGATTTGGAGAGTTAACATAACCTTATAGAGTTTTTGATAAATCAATAAGTCTTGGACTTGCAGTGATCAAAGCAGTGTAGCCTAGTGTTAGCACTTATTCAAGTTATTGCTAAGTTAATACTAATTACTTATGGTGTCAGCCTTCAAAATATAACTAAAATATAAGCAAACAAGTTTTAATTTCCTCAACTACTCAAATTAACTCAATATGTCAACCAATATCTTATGTATTATGATGTATGATAATGCTACTATTGCCTGCTAACTGAGTGCTAAGTGGTATCCACAAATCATAACACTGTACTGGTTTAAATAAGGAATCTAAAAAAGTCTGCTTTGACAGTTTGACAATATGCTGATTGCTGAGTCAGTAATTGTTGATCCTTAAAAAAAAAAATTTCCTCCTCTTCAGGCCTACCAGGCCACTAGCATATTCCATAGCTTCCAGGCACCACTACAGTCTACTCTAATCTCTACCACTAGCGCTAAGTGGTCTTTATGTTTTGAGACGTTCAAGTGTGGTTCAAGAAATAACTCTAACATCTAAACATCATGATCAAAGAACTGATAGGCTAACTGATACCTGTGGGTCCTCTACAAAATCAAGTATAATAAAATGCTAATTTTTAAAAATATATAAGAGTTATAGTGATAATATTTACATGACAGTGGTTTAAATTTACTTTCAATATGAAATCCTTGAACATTATGGTTTTTCAATTAGGAAAATTTTTCTTTCAATTGTATGATTAGACTCTATTGCAAACTCTCTAGTCTCTACTAATGTAAAAATTATTTGTTGTTTACGTCTTGAAGTAATTCAGGTCTTCCATACTCCCATATTATACAAAATTCTCTGACAATTTATTAATAAAAAACCCTCAGTTTTTTTCTGATTTTAAGACTTCAGGTGTGAAACAGTCACAGTCACACCTCCCAGCCTGAGCACAACTTGATTTTTCTTCAAAACTTCACCTCAACTGCCTCTTCAGTACATTTAGAATTTTCCTTCATGCTCTCACAAAGAGTTTTTTTTATAAAAAGAAAATAACAAAGGAATTAGGCAATGATAATTTTCATAGGGTGTTCACCATGCTACATTTTAGCAGGTATTGTCCCAGGCCAGGCGATGGCGATGAATGATTTCAGTTCTCCTTTTTTTAGGAATAGGCCTATCACCCCTCCCAGAGGCGCCAGAGCTGTGATGAGGTTCCAAGGAAGTGAAAGGTTCTCCAGATTTGAGCGAAACTCCCTCCTCTGATTGATGTATAGCGAACAGTGCCAAATAAAAACCTCAATTGTGTCTTCTGTGTTGCATGTGGGGCAGATGCTGGAACCTTCCCTCTGTTGTTCAAGTGCAGTTTACTGACAAGATCTATTTGTTTAAAATTTCGAATGGGTTCAAAATAAAAATGTCATTCTTGCCTGCGTAGCAAATGGAAATAAATAATCGCACATAAAAACTCAAAGATACACTCAGGCTCGAGTTTATGTCCTAAGCTATTTCAAACTTCAGTTTCAAAAATATTCAATCGAAGGACCTGTTTTCAAATCTCCTGTAAACAAGTCGCGAAAATACATGTCTCGACGACAGGACGCATAGAGCCTATTCTTCAACGCCGACATCACGCACCCATGGACGAACTGCAAGGCCGACTTGCAGGCGCTCTAACCCACCAGTCAGGCTACGAAGGCGTCGAAATGTCTCAGGACCTGCAGGNCGTTTCCCCGCACCCCCACGTGTCCCGGGACCCAGCAGATGCTTATCGTTTTTCCCGCCTCCATCAGGCGCAAAAACCAGGCCAGGATTTCCAAGATGATAGGATGTTTGCTGTTGTAGGTTCTCAGGGCCTGCACTACACTTTTGGAGTCTATAAATATTGTAAAGTTACGTTCGGGGTGGTCATCTATAAGGGCCAGGGCACAGAGGACGCCAGACAATTCCGCCGTATAAATTGAAGCGTTGGGGCTCAGTCGTCTTGATATTGTTTTTGTGTCGGTCGTAGCCGCACACCCCACTGCGTCGTCCGACTTTGAGCCGTCAGTGTATATATGGGTCGAATTTGTATGCTTTGTAGTTGCGTGGTCAAGGAAAAGGTTTTTCATCGCAGTTGCCTGCAGCTCGGATTTTAGTGGGAGATTTTGATCCGGGCAGAAGGTGCTGATGGGGATTCGCCACGTGGGAATGTCTTCGAACGTGACGGGCATAACCTGCATCTGTTGGGCCTGTGTTGCTGCAAAGAGTGCACCGTAGTCTTCAGATGGCTAAAGTATTATTGTATTTAATTAACTAATTCAAGGCACGCTAGGGTCAGACAGTGATGCTACAAGACATATGCTTCAACAAAGCTAGCAACGTGTGTTCAGGTCGACTCTGCGAACTTGACGTCGGTCCACCAGGCGTGGCGCGCTACCTCCACCGACTGCATGCGGGACGTGACGCTCGCCGAGTTCAGGTTGTTGGTCTTGTCAACGAGAAGCTCCAGTCGCTGGCCACGGCTCGTTAGCTTCTGCAATTTCTCTGAAAATATTGCTTTCAAATAAATAATGAAATAATTGACAAAATAATACCTCTATACTATGTTCTTATAACAAAGACGGACGAAATACTTACGTTTAAAAATGGCCACAGTGAATTTTTAGCGAATTACATTGCAATAGAAATTCGCGAAATATGGAGAATCGCAAACATAACTCCATATTACTTCGCTATTCCACTCTTTGTACATTAATTTTAAGAACTAAATGAGTGAGTAAAAGTGACTGGGCGGGAAAGAATGAGTGAGGTAGGAACGGGTGACTGAGGCGGGAAAGGGAGAAAGAGGCAGAGAAGGGTGACTGAGGCAGAGAAGGGTGACTGAGGCATAGAAGGGTGACTGAGGCATAGAAGGGTGACTGAGGCATAGAAGGGTGACTGAGGCAGAGAAGGGTGACTGAGGCAGAGAAGGGTGACTGAGGCAGAGAAGGGTGACTGAGGCAGAGAAGGGTGACTGAGGCACAGAAGGGTGACTGAGGCAAAGAAAGGTGACTGAAGCAAGGAAGGGTGAGTGAGACAACGTAGGGTGACTGAGGCAAGGAAGGGTGACCGATACAAGGAAGAGTGACCGAGACAAGGAAGGGTGACCGAAGCAAGGAAGGGTGACCGAAGCAAGAAAGTGTGACTAATGCAAGGAAGGGTGACTAAGGCAGAGCAGGAGTATGTGAGGCAGAGCAGGATAAGTGAGACAGGGCAGACTAAAAGACAAAAGAGAAGTGTTAGGCATACCTCACCACTGTAGGGTGGTTGAGGCTAAGTAGATTGAGTGCAGCAAGATAGGGTGAGTGAGGCTAGGTAGGGTGAGTGAGGAAAAGTAAGATGAGTGAGGCAAGGTAGGATGAGTGAGGAAAGGTAAGATGAGTGAGGCAAGGTTGGGTGAGAGCAGCAAAGCACGGTGAGTGAGGCAAGGTAGGGTGAGTGAGGCAAGGTAGGGTGAGTGAGGCAAGGTAGGGTGAGAGAGGCAAGGTAGGGTGAGTGAGGCAAGGTAGGGTGAGTGAGGCAAGGTAGGATGAGTGAGGCAAGGTAGGATGAGTGAGGCAAGGTAGGAGGAGTGAGGCAAGGTAGAGTTAGTGTGGCAAGATAGGGTAAGTGAAACAAGGTAGGGTGAGTGAGAAATTGTAGGGTGAGTGAGGAAAGGTAGGGTGAGTGAGGAAAGGTATGATGAGTGAGGCAAGGTAGGATGAGCGAGGGAAGGTAAGATGAGTGAGGCAAAGCAGGGTGAATGAGGCAAGGTAGGGCGAGTGAGGCAGAGCAGAGTGAGTGAGGCAAAGCAGGGTGAGTGAGGCAAGTTATGGCGAGTGAGGCAAGGCAGGGCGAGTGAGGCAAGGTAGGGTGAGTGAGGCAAGGTAGGGCGAGTGAGGCAAGGTAGGGTGATGAGGCAATGTAGGGCGAGTGAGGCAAGGTAGGGTGACTGAGCCAAGGAAGGGTGACCGAGACAAGGAAGGGTGACCGAAGCAAGAAAGTGTAACTAATGCAAGGAAGGCTGACTGAGGCAGAGCAGGATAAGTGAGACAGGGCAGACTAAGAGACAAAAGAGAAGTGTTAGGCATACCTCACCACGTGTCCACGTCGTTAACACTCGAAGAGATAAGAAGCTCGACGGCCAGCGCCACGAGGCTCATCTTGATCACCTGCCGCCACAGCGCGGGGTCGGTCGGGCACCTGTCCAGTGTCACCTCCGCGCAGAACTCAACCTGTTAATGGGAGTACATTTAGTACAGTCATTCCTTGGTAGATATTGTCTAGCATACAAGCTCCACCACACACGAGTTATCTGACGACATCTCGCCGATGTTCCAACAACAAGAAATGCTCAAGAAACAATTGTCATATATATAATGAGGGCAGCCTCAGGGCAGTACCTGATCGCCGACGTGTAGGTCATCACACACGGACGTCTCTACTTCGGGGCCGCCCTTGCAACGCGAGAAGTAGCGGATGTGCACAGGTGCTGTTGCGTTGTCCTTCAGCTCCACTATGGTAGCAGCTTTCTACAAAGTAACCATCAATGTGTAAGATGAGTGAGGCAAAGCAGGGTGAATGAGGCAAGGTAGGGCGAGTGAGGCAGAGCAGAGTGAGTGAGGCAAAGCAGGGTGAGTGAGGCAAGGTAGGGCGAGTGAGGCAAGGCAGGGCGAGTGAGGCAAGGTAGGGTGAGTGAGGCAAGGATGGGTGACCGAGGCAAAGAAGAATGACTGAGGCAAGGAAGGGTTGCATTTCAGGCATCAACAATGCTGAGCAATTTACAGATTTATGCAGAATTTACTGGTATGAAGATTGACATACACATTCATTCTGAATAAATGTAGCTATGTATTATACACCACAACTAATACAATGTTGAAATAATCAATAGTTATAAATGGAGAACTGGCAGAACCTACAACACATGACCATACTCCAATAAATTAAAAACTAACATCTTCCAGTTAACGATAAGAAACTCGATCACCTGTTACATAAGCAGCAGCTTCTGTTAACTTTCTAGCACACAACAGCTCGTTCACATGTGTACTCACTATTTGCACTTGTGTAAATAAGAAGTACTAACCACCATGGGCTCTGTTGACAGTCTTGAGTCGCTTGCTCATGCGGTACAGCTCACAGGGACGGGCAGGCTTGATGCCACGCAGGACTCGCTTACAACCAGCACAGTGAAAGGCCTTGACAGGCTTCGTCGCATGCTGATATGTGAGACAGCCTCCCGAAGTGCAGACACTGCAAACAGTAATGTATGTTAACATCAATAGGTTCTCACTTCAGGCATCAACAATACTGAACATATGTTACCTAACAGCTCAAAAATTGATGACATTACATCTATATAAGAAAGTCAGCAAAATTACAACAAGACTTCACGCGATGATACTGACTGGTATCTCTATCATCCTAGGCAGCTGATATTAACTTTTTAAAACCTCCTTACAAAAGTCATAATAAAGTTTTACACATACAAAAAGCATAAAGATACAAAAAGTTCTTAATGTGTTCTATAACCTTTCCTGAACAACATCATGGTAATTTATAATCTTTGCTTGTTACCTCCTTGTTATATCATACAAAAAATCATCCCTTCCCAATTCCCTGGTTCAGAGAGTGGCTAAATATTCTAAGATCTATCACAACAGATCAGCATCAAAATATATCTCCAGGAGATCTTACCGACGGTCATCTTATTATATACATATTTTATTTACATTATTCTCTGACAACAAATCTTGGAGGTTAGAGCAGTTCTGGTAAGAAATCATTAATAATACTGGTAAAACTTAGAGCCTAATTTCCTAATCTTGCCAATAAAATTGCCAGACTCTGCATAGCAGCTTACAAAGTTTAAGAAAAAATTGTATTAAGATAAAATTAAAGCCATTGCTCAATTTTTTAGGCTTTCACGAGACATGCTTGCATCTATTTCAACTGGTTTTTATAACTTGCATTCAATTTTTTCCCATAAAACATAGGAAAAAATGTAGGAAAACAAAAAAAGCCAAGACAAAACATAGCAGCAAACCACAGATTCTTAACATTGGTTCATTTTTAACATGCTTCTCTACTCAAGATATAATGCAATATCTTACGTTTATAATGCTGACATAGCAATATCCATGATGGTCCTTTGCTGATCAACTTATAAGACTCAAAATTGATCTTGAGGGAGAGTCTAAAAAAACTCTGCTTTATCACTATACAACTAGGGCTCTTCAGCCATTTTTGGAGCTGCAAAATTTCTGCAAAATTAATAAGCTCCTATCTATTTGTAAACACAAATGCATGATCAAGATCTTACATGATTTGTGGGTCAAAGCAGCCTCCAGTGGACAAACAAAAGAACCCCCTCCGCAACTGACGTCCATAATCCTGTAACAAATTATTAAACAATATTTAATTTGCTTCCACATAGTAATGTTTGATGATGCTCTGCATTGAACAAAGAAAACATTTGGCAAAATATATGATTATCACAGAGAAACCAAGATGAGCAGCTTTAGAGGAACAACTAATCAGAAATTATTTTTTTACTATCATAGGAAGAAAATCAACAAATCACTAAATACTAAAAATAGAAAGCTGCAAAATCACTGTTGATTAGAAAACTCAAATTACCCATTATATTTATAATATAAAATATAAAAATTTATAATCGTTTTTATAATAATAGTGTATTATTCCTCAACTTACCTTATGCTATCATAACAGTGCAGCATGGAGCAGACGCAATGTGCATAACTTTGTAGTGCAGGTAACAAGAGTAATGGTGAATGGATGATTTCTCGATGGCAATACCTTCTTTTGTAAAAAATTTCTTCAAACTTGACGTCTCAAACTTCCAAATTTTTCAAGGTCAAGGCTTGGTTGAAACAATAATGGTTCAAGAATCCATAGACAAATCACTCAAAATGGGCCAAGATGTACAAGACATTTTTGTCACACACCATCTTCCTTCATTTCATGATGCTTCTAAAAGACTACTTCTGCTGCTATTCAAGTCTTCTTTTCTTGTTACAACTCCTTATTTTGACATCCTCAGACAACTGTCTTTGACTTTTTCTTTGGGACATGGTGACCATTTTCTTATTAATTTATTGCAATTACATTTACATACATTTCTTGAGTACCTACATTTCTTTGAATACATATATGCATTTACATTGCATACATTTCTTGAAATTAAAAAGGTTTTTACTATGCAATGCATAGTAATACAATACAAAAAATCCTCCAAAAGAAGACCTGCTCCAGCTCAACTAGAGCTTTTCTTTGAAATTACTTCAAAATGAACAAAAATAATCCCTCCATCTCTTCTTCTTCCTATTCTTGCTCCCTTTCTCCCTCATTTCCTACAGCGTTTTGCGCTGCAACTCTCCCAACTGGCGGTGCAGGGGGAAGATCAATACGCTTTCTGTATAGTGGTGCATGATCCAATATATTTCTTGGACGCACCGATGCTAAATGTAACTTGACACTTCCTGATGGTGCTCCGTCGGCTTCGTATCTTCTTTTATACCATCCGCTAACTCGCCATACTTCATGATTTTCTTCATAATAATGAAGTACATCATCTACTGCTTCACAGAACTCAAATACATCAAATTCATCCAACTGCAAAATGAAAAATCTGTGTAAATTCACTTCATAATAATAAAACAATAATAAAAATTGAACTATAATCTCATTCATAAAACCTAACATTAGGATGCTAAAAATGAAATAAAATTGTGCCAATTCAATTGATAGCTTTGCACTTTATGCATTCTTAGGCAAATGTTGAATCCTAGGAATAAATAATTCACTACAAAACAAAAAATTCAACACGTACAACAAAAAACAAATCCTGTTATAAAAATTATATCAAACACATAGCACAGACTTACTTTAAGAGTATCTTCATGGACGAAGTACCTGGTGACCGACTCGCTCACGAATTGGATATACTGGTCTTCCGAAATTTTCTTTAATTCATCAATTTCATAATACCCATGCATTGCCCAGTTTTGCCGGCAACCGCCCCCAAATGCTTGGCATTGTGCAACAGGCTCTATGTGCTGTGAGTCGCAGAGCCGACTGGGGCAGCCTTTTATGGCACTGGGCCGTTCAATCTTGATGCGACATTCAACGGTGAATGTGCGGACGTGATTTAAATCTTCTAAGGCCGGCATCATTATAGTAGGATTACCTACTTCTCGTAGGGTTACAAGTGGCACGGGCTTACTGATGCACTCCACTGTTTTAATGCCATGTATCTCTCCACTTATAGTCGGCTGATAGAGGGCAACATAACTTCCAATAAAGATGTCTTTATAGCACCAAAAGAGATTATTTGAATCTCTCTGGGTCTTGCACAACATGTAGAAACTTCCACCGCCCACTATCTCCCTGTGCATAGATTATAAAGACTGATTTAAAATAGACATTACCAAAAAAGAAAACATTTGAAAAGAATATTATAGTAATTCAGATAGGTAATTCAGATCAACAAGATATATATATATATATATATGTTTATAACAGTGAAGTAAGGTTCTTACCGAAACAGCACGAGACGGTCATAATGTCCTACAGACCCTTTACTATGAATGAGTTTTTTGCTCCCCTCTCCCTTCTTCTGCTTCTTCAATGAAAGGAGTTCAGCGAATAATACAATATTACGCTGTAACTTCACATCTTCCAGCTTGCAGTAGGCTACGCGATCACCTGTCACAAACTGTACAGCTTCCAAATACTGTTTATCTGCTATCAGTTTGTTAATATGAGTCGTCATAGCTATTCTTCAAATCTACTTCTGTAAATAGAAAATATGTCACGAGATCACAACTTAAAGTACCAGCCCCCAAACAAGTAAGCAAGAGGTATTTGTGATTTCAATGCTCAATATTTTTCAAGGTTATATTGACCAGTCGTGGCAGAACAATGCAACACTTCTGCAGCATCCCAACACTTGGGTTGGATTGAAGGGCCATGGCGCATATTTCCACAGCTGCTGAGGGTACAAATAAGCATTGTGGAAGCAAATGTAAATTTTTCATCCATGCATCCTAAATTAAATGACAATAATTGGTTTTGGTCAATATTTTATGAACCTCCTTTATATATGGAAATGTGCCTACTATTTCAGAAACAGTTCTTGAATACACTAATGAAAACTCAAATTCTGTTGTTGCCGGGAGGCATCTACCCATACTTTTCACCCAACCACCTGCTCTCTATATATGAATTATTGTTGAATTAATGTTTTCTTATTGATTAATTATTGTTGTATGTATGTTTTTTTATATTATTTTCAACCTGTAAATTAATTCTATTTATTGCAACTTGGTCAATTATTGTGATAACGATTGGAGAACCATGCAAGTGCAGTTACTGATCCCTAAATTGATGAGTCTCTAAGTGGAACTGCCACAAGTTGTTGGTGAGTTTAGTTAGGTTTGATCCTTTTAATCACAAAGATCTTTTGTAGGTGTCTTATAATTTTACTACCTCCTTATCTGATTAACTAGCTTTGTTTGTGCTTTACTTTTCATCCAATGTTTATAGCATTTCTTATGTCAACTGTCATTTGCTTGCAATTTATTCTTGAATGCTTTGATTTTGCGTATTTATCTTAAAAACTTCACAACTATTACCAATTACTTGAGCGGTTTATCCTGGTTCTGGTTTTAGCTTATCTTTACAAATGTTTTACTGATTTCACCCCCAATATTATGTTTGTCTGTTTTGTTTTTCATATTTCTTGCTTGCTGCACGCAACCAGCTTGCCATCAATTAAGAATCTATTTTAAGTATTTATTGTATCAGTTTTAACATTCAATTTCCCTTCAAGCTAAGTATTATTATCTAGTTGGACAGGTTATTGATTTTTGTTCTCTTTATTTTTCAGTTCATCAATGATGGAATATGTGTCACCCTGTCCATGCTCCCTTTCCCTATCCCTAATCATAGCTCATAACCCTGAAGCGCAGTTAAACTTGTCCGCTCCTTACACTGTACCATAACCACTTAATAATTTAGCTATTCCATTGTACATTGTTTTCACTGTATTTCTATTTCAATTTATAATATAAGACACCAGTCTTTCATTTGCCTTTTGCCTTACTAGATAGAAGGGTTGTTGCCAAACCAAATTCAAAGTAGGTAACACAATTACCTCACCTGCAACGTGAGATATCCACCCGGCAACACTGTAATCAAAGGAGCCTTTGAAATGACAAAATTGTTAAATTTTAATTTTTAGCATTTTGAGTGATATCATCAATCATAGGAGCTGTAAGAAAAAATTCGTTGTTTCTGATGTTGAAAAAGATAGAAGATATGGAATTAATGGCTCAAAGAAATGGAATCATGTCTGTCAAATCCATAAAACCACGGCTCCAAAAATTCATTTACGGCTTGCCAAGTAGATATATTCCATGCCTGTTGTAACCTGAAGTACATTTTCATTCAAGTATCCCATATGAGATAATAAATAACTATACAATCCTATTTTAAAACTTGAGGAAACCTGATGATAATTATATCATTCATTAACAGCGAACCATTTGAAATTTCTCTCAATGCTTTCTTTAAAACTATAAATTCAAGTGTTTACAGACAAATTTGATATGGACAAGATTGGAATTTTCCAATTTTTTTTTTTGAATCTTGCAGCTCAAACGTGATGAATTTTCAATACATTTGGAATCTCGGGGCCTGAATTTTTGCTAATGATTAAATTGGAGGTAATTCAACAGGATTGGAACTTTCCTATTTGTTTCTGTAATCTTGCGGCTCTAATGTCACAAATTTTTAATACATTTAGAATCTTGCAGCCTGATCATGCACTTTTTATAAATTAAATAGTAGGTAATTCAACATGATTGGAATTTTCCTACTTATTTCTTAAATCTTGCGGCTCAAACGTGATGAAATTTCAATACATTTCTAGTGGCCTGAGCCCTGATGATGCACTTTTGCTCACAATTACATTGGAGGTAATTTTAACAGGATTGGAATTTTCTGAGAAGCAACTGATTAAGATTTGTTTGACGTCAGTGGTGGTAGTATGGTTATTATAGGCTATACTGAGTATAGGACATTTGCTTTCATATAATGGTCAGTTTCTGTGTCTGTGTGGCTGCAATGAATTACCTCCTATTTAATTTAAGTGCATGATCAGGCTGCAAGATTCTAAATGTATTAAAAATTTGTCACATTTGAGCCGCAAGATTACAGAAACAAATAGGGCTAGAAATGTTCCAATCCTGTTGAATTACCACCTAGCTTTTTAATTTTTCAAAAGTGCATGATCAGGCTGCAAGATTATAAATGTATTAAAAATTTGTCACATTTGAGCCGCATGATTACAGAAACAAATAGGAAAGTTC